AGAGAGGGACAGAGAGACAGAGAAACAGAGAGGCAGAGAGAGACAGAAAGAGACAGAGAGAAACAGAGAGAGACACATAGAGAGAGACAGACAGAGACACACAGAGAGAGAGAGAGGAAGAGAGACAGAGAGACAGAGATAGAGACAGAGACAGAGACAGAGAGAGACAGAGACAGAGACAGAGACAGGGACAAAGAGAGAGAAAGAATAGTGAGAGATGAGAAAACTCTCAGGTCAGAATCTTAGGGAATACTCACAGTAGGTGGGAAAAGGAGGATGATCCAGCAAAAGAAGCTGAGAAAGAATAGTCAGAGATAGAGGGCAGTGTCCTAAAAACCAAAGAAGGAAGAAAATGTAGGAGGAAAAGGAAATCAGCAGCACTGAAAGCTGAAGAGAGGTCAAGTGGAACGATGATTAAGAAATAGCCGCTGGATTTATAGTGCTTACCATCTTGTGTGCTGCAGGCAGCCATCTTTGACCTACACAGCTGTATTTTTTTGTCACCTCATTATTGGCCTCATTACTCCCATTTCTGTGGCATTGGTATTTTGAGAATTATTCTGTATTTCTGTAGCTGATTAAAAAACAACAACACCCAAGTACATGATTTTCTTTACTTTTATGCCTATCAAATTTCATGTTGTTAGATTTGGCTCATTATTCCAAATGGTCCAGATTTGTTGTATCTGATGTCGTTATCCAACATATTAGCCATATCCCCCTGGGTCTGTGCCGTCTAGAAGGTTCCTAAGCTTGGCATCTATGTATTTGTCCTCATTGATAATATTATTGAGCAGCAGAGAGCAGATGCTAAAGCACAGTGGCATGCCACTGGAGACCACCATTTAGGGTGATATGAATCCATTGCTCAGCATGATTTTAGGCCTCACTATAAATTACCAAACTTTAATACCATCCAGCTCCTGCATTTTTATTTTGTCCAAAAGATATCATGACAGATTTTTATCAAATACTGTGAAATCCAGGTGTGCTGTTTACCCTGTTCTATAGACCTATCAACCTTTCCCCTTTCCCCCAATATTTCAAGGATTTATAATTTCACTAGGGTGGGTGACACTACATTGGTGCAAATATTACAACCCTTCTACAGCTTAGTAGGTTCAGGAGTTGCTGTGACCAAAAAAATATCATCTTCCTTTGGCCAACTAGGTTGATGAGCTTCTCCAGATTTAGCTTGGCTGGTCCTTAGACAACAGACATACAAATCACCCATCGCCAATCCCATACCTGAAGCATTCCCAGATTGGTTGGAAACACCACAGTTTGTTCTCCCATGACATAGCCTTACAGGAACCCAAAGGTCCTCTCTATACTAAGATGACGCATCTGAGTGAGACTTTAGGGAGAACTCTATTAGCCCATTTGAGAACTCTTTTCAAAAAGGAAATGAACTTAATTTGTCATTGCTGCTTTCTTAGGGAACCCACGGTTTTCTGCTCTCATGGTTCCCGATGCTTCTGAGCTAAATGATATTCCTCCTCTCCAGTATCTTTATTATCTACATCACCTGTTCCACTTGAATGAATGATACATTTATTAAATGCTTACTGAGTGTAAAGCACTCCTCTAGGCTCTGGGGACAAGAATAGATCCTACTCTTAAGGACCTCACATCCTAAAAGGGGAGGTAACACATATGGAAGGTTTCAGCTATAAGTCAGATGGAAAGGTCCCATGATCCTTAGGCTGCAGTGGCAAAGTAGATGGTAATGTCTTTTCTTTAATGTCATTTCCACTGATAAAATGATATCAGTATTTGATATTGAGCCATTTAACACTGGACTGGAAGTAGTATTATTCCAAAGGCTCTTGGTTTGAAATCTCCATTAGGGTCTCAGGGGACATGGTGATCAAGGTGGTGGTGGTTTGACCTACCTGGTGCATACTGCTTCCTGTCTCTCCCTTGCTGCTTCAGCTAGCTGGCTCATTTGCCCTATGAATAGCAATTGGTTAGCAGTTGGTGGGATAGCTGGTTCCTTGACCACAACAGCTGTGTCCCCAGATAATGGCTTTAATGGATGAGTCAGAAGGGGGAACAGTGGTGGTGGGAAAGAGGGTCCTGTTATCTCCAGGGCTTCTACGTTCATTTACCCATTTGTGACAGTTAGCCTATGGATGGAGTTGAGAGATGTATTGCCTTGTATAAAGAAAAACAAAGAAGCCAGCATCATTGAATTTGTAGAGTATGTGAAGGGCAGTAAGGTATAAGAAGAATAAAAATGCAAGAAAGAACCAGGCTATGCAGGGCTTTAAAAGCCAAACAGAAGATTTAATATTTGATCTTACAGGCAATAGAGTTTATTGAATAAGGTATGACATGGTCACACTCATGGTTCAGGAAGATCATTTAGAAGGCTGAGTGAGGGATGGATTGGAATGAAGACAGATAAGGCAGGAAGATCAACTAATAGGCTATTGTGATGATGATGGAGGCCTGCATTAGGGTGGTGGCAGTGTCAGAGGAGAGGAGGTAGATAGATAAGAGAGATGTTGGGAAGGCAAATTTGTCAGAACTAGGTACTTGGGATTTAGTTCTTAACCAGAGCACTTGAACTCTTTTAATTCATCCAGATCTTCTTGAACTATCTCCTTACCCTATAATTGACTTTCAGTTCCCTCTTAATTCTGTTTAATCTATCCTTTTCAATTCACAGATAATATGTCTTGATAGAGAACACAGAAACAGGAAAGATAGATCTCTGGCATCTCATTCATTCTCTGAAGTTGTGTCTGGGGGCTCTGAACATCAGATCAAACACCAGGATTCAAATTAGCTGAACTAATCCCTGTCTTTCTCTATGTGAAAATTCAGGCTTGTCTTGGAAGTCTGTTCTAGCTGTTCAGATAGGGAAGAATCTTTGGTAGACTGAGTCACTGTGAAGCTCTTATCATAGCCCCCTGGTCTCTTTGCAGGAAGGTCCTCTTGTGTGGGACCTTTTTAGATGAAGCCTAAAAGAAAAAATTATGCTTGCTTTTTTCCCCCCAGAAAGTTCAAGTGACTTAAAAAATCAAACTTTTAAAGGCTTCTTGGTCCCGTATTTGTTCATGTCATATTGGCAGATATTTCAAAATGAATCTAGAAATAAGAACACTGAAATTTTATTTGGCATAGGGAGAAGTGTTTGTTTTCTGTACTGGTCTGTCAAATAGCTATTAGATCCACACAACTTTGAATGTGTCTTGAAACAGGAAAGCAGTTGAAATGTGAGAAGCTGAATCATTTAACTAATTAACAGCCCAGAGCAAAATAGCCAGTTTTTTTCCCTCCAGTTTTTCTCATTCAGTGATTCAGTGAATAATTATGCCATTGTCAGAGGCAACGTAGAATAGAAACTCTCCAGCAGAATGTAAGTTCTTTGAGGGTAGGAACTATTTTGGCCAATTTTGCTTTTTAAGGCATTCTTCTCATTGGCTTTTTGGACCTCTTTTGCCATTTGGGTTAGGCTATTTTTTAAGGTGTTATTTTCTTCAGTATTTTTTTGGGTCTCCTTTAGCAAGCTGTTGACTTGTTTTTCATGATTTTCTTGTATCACTCTCATTTCTCTTCCCAGTTTTTCCTCTACTTCTCTTACTGGCTTCTCAAAATCCTTTTTGAGCTCTTCCATGGCCTGGGACCAATTCATGGTTTTTCTTGGAGGCTTTGGATATACATAGGAACTATTTTTGAATCTTTCTACCTCTAGTGCCCATCATTGTGCATGGTGAAGAATGAGTTGTTTCTTTTTTTTAATTTATATGCATAGTCTTTCCTTTGAACAAACTATAGGTAGTTTTTCTATTTTAAAGTTATTCCAAAATCATTGTGCTATTCAGTCATTTTTCAGTCATATCTGACTTTTTGTGACCCCATTTGGGGTTATCTTGGCAGAGAGACTAAAGTGGTTTGCCATTTCCTTCTCCAACTCATTTTATAGATGAGGAAATTGAAGTAAACAGGGTTAAGGTACTTGCCTTCACACAGGTAGTAAGTTTCTGAGGTCTGATTTGAACTGAGGTCTTCATGACTCCAGGCCCAGAAGATCTGAGTTCAAATTTTAAAGTTCCCTTCCTAACAGATGGGGAAACCAAGACAGAGAGAGTTGAAGTGACTTACTAAAAGTTGCACAGGAAGGAAATAAACATGATTCCAAGTCCTCTGACTACAAATCCAGTGCCCTTCCCAGTATACCAGAGGGTCGTAATATTCAAGAAGTGTTACCATACTATTCTTCCACTCCCAATAACCCCAACAATTTCAGCCTCTTCTTGGAAGCTCCTTCAGGCTGAAAAGGAAGAGAGCAATGTCTTAGTTTGGGTGTCTGACTCACTGCAGGCCCCTGGCTGACTCCTTGAAACCTCACACTTCTTCTTTCTTCTGGGAGTTGGGTTTTTTTTTCTTTCTTTTCCCAGGAAGTGCCTACAGACATCCTAGTTAATCTTAGGATTACAGTTATTATATAAGAGTTGGATCCTACTTTGGGTCCTTATTAAAAACAGAATTATAGGATCTGAGAGGTAGGAGGGGCCTCAGGGGATATTTAGTTCAAGCTATTAACAGAAGGAATCCACACCGAAATAGCTCCCCAAATGGTCATTCAACCTTTGCTTAAAGACCTATAGACATGATAGATACTCACTCACGACACTTACATAGGTAATTTGACATTTCTACCAGATACATTTCTTTTTTTTTTATGTTGAAAATGAAACTCTGACACAGTAGAGTAGAGCTTTGGACTGGAAAAACACATTCTGATGAATTGGTCTGTTTCTGCTAATTCATTCTGATTAAAAAAGCGTATACCATGTGTCAGGAATTGTGCTTAGGTACTCAGGATACAAAGACAAAAATGAAATAGTCCCTTCCCTCAAGGAGCGTGTGGTCTACTGTTCTTGACTGTCGGGAGAGTGTTGGCCTTTATAACACATCCAAGGAGTTACTAGATGAAACTGAGTGAATGAAAGTTTGTGAGACAGTGAAAGGATAAAAGTAACTCTCCATTTAGGGAGGACACTGACAAGTTGGAGATTGTTCAGAAGAATGCCACCAAGATGGCGCAGGGCTTTGAGATCTCACCATCAAAAGATTGGATAGAGGAGCCAGAGATAATCAGTCTTGATAAGAGAGGACTCAAAGGGGAAGCAGTAGTAGCCTGGCCCAAATTTAACACTTGATAAAAGCTTGTTGGTTGATTGAAGGGCTATCATATGGACAAATATTCATCTTGTTTTATATGGTCCCAAGGAACAGAAATTGAACCAATGGGTGGAAGTTGCAAAGAAATATAGGCTTAATATTGAAAAAAAAAATTTACTGACAGTTTGAGCTACACGAAAGTAGAAGAGACTCTCTCGAGGGTTGATCTCAGTAAATGCCTTCAAGCAAAAGCTGGATAACCACTGTAGGTGTAGGTTGGAATTTTTTTTTCCTGGCATGAGTTAGACTTCAACTAGGTGGCACAGTGGATAGAATGCTGGCCATGGAGTCAGGAGGAGCTGAATTTAAATCTAGCCTCAAACACTTCCTAGCTGTGTGACCCTGGGCAAGTCACTTAAGCCTGTTTGTCTCAGTCTCCTTCCTCATCTGTAAAATGAGCTGGAGAAGGAAATGGCAAACTACTCCAGCATCTTTGTCAAGAAAACCCCAAATGGGGTTGTGAAAAGTAAGAACAGGACTGAAAAATGACTTAACAACAGTCAGTTAGACATAAGGGCTTTGGGGGTCCTTTCAACTCTGAGATTCTCTGATTTTATGATGTCAACTCCAATAGACTCAAGAGGACTCACTTCACTAGTGTTTATTTCAGATCAGAGGAAGGCAGGGTGGTCTTACAATCCTCCACTACCCCAAGAACTGTGGTTCTTACTTAGCAAACATCTAATGAATACTTGGGGAGCATTTGTGGAGTGAATGTAATGGAAAGAGAGCTAGCTTGGGAAGGCAGGGGACCTGCTCCTGGTATTGCCATTAACCGGCCTTGTGACTCTGGGCAAGTTATATCTCCTCCCAGAGCTGAGGTTTCCCCACCTATAAAGTAAGACGGTTGCATAAAATAATCCCCAAGATCCCTTTTATCCCTAACATCCTATGATTCTATTTGATCTTGATATTGTTTAATGTCTTTCCCATAAAGTCGGTCACCCACTGATAGTGTGAGAGATAGTGGGGACTCAAGCCATTCCATGCAATACATTTCCAGTGAGTGATAAAAATGAAATAATCACTTACCATCAGAAGAAGTGATTAGAGGACTGGCTAAAGTCTAAGTGATACAGGAACCAACACAGAGAAACTCGTAAGGAGCAGATGCTTAACTTTTCCAGTGTTTATATGGGGTGGACAGATTAGATGTTGGCAGTGAAAGCCAGCTGTTGAGAAATTTTCTTCCGGTCTTATTCCTTTAATGGTTTCCATTTACCCCAATTTGCATTTGTGAAATGAATTGTGGGTGTATGCCCCCAAGTAAGTATGTCATCAAGCCCTAGTTATGGAGGGATTTTGGCAACATCTTGCTATTTGGCAACCACAAACGTGAATCCCAATGGGTCTTACCAAAACCTGTTTTTTCCAGAGCTCTATTTCAAGAAATCCACTTTCTTTTGGGCAGAGTACCCACATGTAAATGCATGATTCCCCATGTGGACAGAAGGAGAGAGGAGGGGGAAGAAGGAAAGAAAGAAAGAAGCAAGCAAGCAAGGAAGGAAGGAATGCGCAATATTGACCAACTGGAACTGGCCAGTTGGGTCCCCAGTGGGACAGCTACTACTGCTAACAGATTGTTGTTTGTCCTTCATTCTCAAAGAGGACCAATGACATCAGGAATCAGAAGCAATGGGGGAGGGAAGGGAATAAGCATTTCTATAGCACCTACTATGTGCCAGGCACATAGTTTACACTATTCCTCTCACCAGTCAGGAATACTTAGTCCTTCCTAGGGTGGGAGTTCCAGAATGGAATGTATTAAGGTCCCCATGGAAGTGAAGGGAGGCATTGTCTTTGGAGGTGATATTGGGCGCTGCTGTATCAGGTAGGGGGCAGGGAGAGCAGTTGCAGGTAAGATGCCGAATGTGGAGGGCTGGATGGCATGAACTAACTTAATTCTTCTTGTACCTGTCCTTGTTGTTGTTCAATTGCTTCAGTTGTGCCCTACTCTCTATGACCCCATTTGGGGTTTTCTTGGCAGAGATATTGGAGTGGTTTGTCATTTCCTTCTCCAGCTTATTTTGTAGATAAAGAAAATGAGGCAAACAGGGTTAAAGGCAGCTATCTTGTGCACCTAATCTTCTTTTCTCTGGGCTAATAAACCTTATCTCCTTCACTTTCAATGATCTTCATACTTCTTTAGCCCGAGCTTTGCCTGTAGGGGGTGCATCTGTATAGGTGGCATGAGGAGTTCACCTGGCTAGGAGCTGGAAGAAGGGAAAGTGGGTATGATCCCCAAACTGCATATGCCAGAAGCAGGGAAATGTTTGTGAAATGGGGGTGTGGGTGGCGGGTGGAGGACTAGTCTGAAATGAGCCCTTAAGGTTTGGAGGAGGAATTGGGCAGAGCTAGAACCTTGAGCTTGGTGTTGTAGTGATCTGCCCACAGTCTGAGCCACAGATTTAGGATTTGGGATTAGCTGAAGAGTGGGCTAGGTGTGTGAGTGGTACTTAGTGAGGGAGGGATGCCCTGAGGTGGTTTAATGAGTATATGTGTGTGTGTGTGTGGCACGCACCTGCCTGTGGAACCTGGGAACAAGTGATTCCTTGGAGACCTTATCTGGGATATATATTCCACAATTTTTCTCTTCTCCATAACAAAATGCTGGTCAAAGTGTGTGGGGATTAGGGGTGCTACGGGAAAAGGAAGGGCAGAAATGCAACGTGTTGCCTCAAACAGGTTCCAAAGAGTTCTGTTTCAAGATAGCTTCTGCAAGAGACTAAAGGGATTTTGATTTTGATTTATTGATTTATTGATAGATCAGGAGTTCTTGATCATTTTTAGGTCATAGACCTCTTTGGCTGTCTATGGACTCCTACATGCATTATTGTTCACATTCATAATTGAAAGAAATTCGAAATTTCAGTGTGTGAAAACAAAGATGTAATTTTTTCCCATCCAAGTTTACAGACTCCCTGAAATCTATCCACTGACCTCTTGGGAGCTAGGTTTGACACCCCCCCCATCTAGTCCAACCCCCATATTTACAGATGACCTCAGCTCAGAGACTTTAAGTGATTTGCTCAAGGCATCTAGCTAAGAACTCCTAACCTAGTGCATTTACATTTATGGACAAGTCACCGAGCTTTGCTGGTTCATTCTGTGTTTTTTGAGCTAAGCTCGCTGGGTTATGAACACCTGGTCTCTACAGAAAATTAGGGTGAGGAAAGGAAACCAGTAGCCCCAAGCCTTGTTTTGCATCTTCAAGAGACATCCCTGCAAGGCAACTTATTTTGCCAGAATAATATGGCTTTCCGCTTTTGAAGGAAAGGAAACAAATGAACCATGAAGACCCTGGGGTTTGCTGGTAGGGTATTTTATGATAGACTTCAACACGTTTCCAGGGTGGCCATTTTTATGATGAGTCGAATAACTTAGCAGTCTTTGCCTGCTCTGGCCTCTCTAGTCTTCTCACCGGAGAGACATCTATATTCCCACAGATGTAAGCAGGGCTAGAGAAGCTTGTTTTGGCTGGTGCTGCCGCGTCGTCCCTCAGGGGGCCATGTTTCCTCCTTCCACCACCTGCGCACTACATGGCCAGAGACTGACCGAGAGACAACTGGACACCAGGAGGCAGAGCCCCTGATCTGCTTCCGGACAAAGGATTCTACCATGCCTAGAGCATGAGCTCAGAACCCAGTCTGGGAGGAGATGGCTGGTGGTCTCCCTCTGACCACTGAAGGAATTTCGCAGATCAAAAAGGAACAGATGATTTCCTCACAGTAGATGGCAGAACCATTCTAGGAAAACAAAAAGCCCCTGTGAAACAGATGAAGTTTGTCTTTGGCCTTCTTGGTCTTTAGCTCTGATTTGTTTGATCCCAGGCCACAGTGCCTTTGGCTGAGAAAAATGACTGTTTGTAGAGTGATTCTTTGGGGAAAGCAAATTGTCATTTTCAAAGCACGGCCTTGGATACTCCCGCTGTTTCCTGGCCCTGATCTGTGTGGACTCCCTTGGCTTTTGACCTATTACTTGTGAACTCAGACCTTATTTTCCAGCTTAGCCCAGGGATCCACTATTGCTCTAAGTAGAATTTTTTGTCTTTGAAATAAACATAGATCATCTTTACTGTTGGCCTTATGCAGTTCCTTGACTCTCACATTGTATTCAGGTCCTGTCTTGTGAAGGATTGTTGACTCTCTTACACCCTGGACTGAGACTCACAGTTAACAATTATATATAGGTGGAAAATTGCTATGGTTTTTTATATTGGGATAACTATATTGGTTAGCTGATAATCTGTCCTGTGGGGCAGCCATATGGGCTTAGAAGCACCTACCACTTCCACTGTTTCTCCTGTTGCTATCTGCTACAGAAGATATTCCTTCTTTCAGCAGGTTTTTTACATTGTCCTGCTCTCACTCAGTGGTCTTTAAACTTACTGACCAACCCCAGTTCAGCAGTAGAAAGCTTAGTACCTAATTTCCAAGTAATTCATCCCCCTTTTCCCCAATGATTTCTTTGTAGAACTATGAATGCCCCACACTCTCAGCCAGTCAAGACAGTGCAACCATTTTCCTTTCTGTACTGCCTGGCCAATGCTTTACATTTCTACAAAGAATCCACGGTAAAATACCACTAATATCCTCATCCTTCCATTCAATTGTTCTCTCATCCCCCCACCAATCAACAGACCCTGATGAATTTCTAGTCTTACTAGTGAGCACTGGTCCTCCAATAACTAAGTAACTACGGTAGGTATTCATCCCAATGTACATATATGATGTCACTTTAATACACAATGGTATAATGATTCCTGGAATCAACTTTGCTGTCTTGTTAAGGTTTGAACTGAGAAACAAACTGCTCTCAAATTATAGCCTAGACCTTGAAGGGGTGGGAGGAGTTCTTAATTTAGCTCACTAGTGCAAGTGCTACTGGTAGAAATGAAAAACAAAACAAAACAAAACAAAAACAAACAATATAATTGCCTACTGCAAGGTCACTGGTGTAAGTAATTGATCCCCTAAAATGTCAGTGAAACCTAAAACAACCAAACCCTCCCTCTTAAATTTAAACGGGTCTTTCCCATGCTTTACCCAATCTTCCATCTTTAATTATCTTCAACAAGCCTCCCAGAAATCTAGCCCACCTTCCACTCCATTCTGAATTCATAAGAACTCAATGGTTTCAATGTGGGATACACAAGATGATGAGTGTACTTACTTCCTTTGGCTTGAACTTCCATCCCAATTCAGCTGCAAACCTCTGAGATCTTCTAAATTCATTTTGTATAAGGCTACCAGGCTTGACAAGAAACACGTATTTTAAAAATAAAACATTTATTCTTCTGCCTCATTCTTTTCTAGGAATTGAAGTCCAAGGTATTTCAGTCGGTCCCATTATTGAGGCTCTGAGCCTCATGGGAAATGCATGCTGTTTCCTCAACTGCATTCCTGTTTCAAATAGATTAGCTGTCATTCGGGAGCTGGAAGGAGGGGTGAAAGAACAAAAATGTATAGAACCTGCCCCCCGTGAGCTTACAATCTAGGCATATTGTACACATGTGATAACACCCAGTGAGAAGAAATGGAAACTGACCAATGAATGGCAATATGTAAGAGAAAAGAATTTGAATAGATGGATATTGAAGGAGTCCAGATACAGAGGAATTACAATGGGAGGTCAGCAATACCTCATGATTTACAAAAGTTTGCAATTTACAAGAATTTTTCCTCCCAACTATTCTGTGAAGTAGGTTGTACAAATGCTATTACTGCTATTCTGTGCATGAGGAACTTAAAGCTCAGGAACATTGAGGTAATTTGTTAAAAGTCACAAAGGTGATTAGTGACAGGTGGTTTAGGTGGCACTATAGCTGAAGTGATGAATGTGAAGTCAGGAAGACCTGAGTTCAAATCCAGCCTCAGACATGGACTAGCTGTGTGACTCTGGACAATTCACTTTATCTTTGTCTGCCTCAGTATCCTCATCTGTAAAATGGAGATAACAGCACCTATCTCCCAGGGTTATCGTGATGGCCAAATAAAATAGTGTATAAAAAGTACTCGTAGGGGGCAGCTAGGTGGTGCAGTGGATAGACCACCAGCCCTGAAGTTCAAATCTGGCCTCAGACCAAACACTTGACAATTA